AGATACCCACATACAGATAGTCTGTGTTTTGGGAGTTCTACTTCGTGTATTTGATTTGATGATAGATAACTTACCTACATATTTTTTTATAGTAAGTGCAGAATGTTTCTGAAATGCGAATTTCATTTTGTTGCCATATAAAACAAAACAAACAAAATAAAGTTACGGTCAGTTAAGGCGATAGTATACCTACATAAAAAGTTCATGCTTTGTAGTTAATTAGTAATTACTATATAGGGTGTATTTTTATTAGTGGCGGATCCGTTAAGGGTGTGTTCTGTCAATGAAACTGAACAACTTTCCCCAAGGAACATAGGTCGAAATATGAAAAGAAAATTTGGCCCTCCCATACAAATTGCCCCGGCCGGCCAACACACTTAGTATGGGAAGACCAAATTTTTTTTTCGTGTTTCGACCTATGTTCCTTGGGGAAAGTTGTTCAGTTTCATTGACAGAACACACCCTTAACGGATCCGCCACTAATAAAAATACACCCTATAGAAAGGCAAAGTAAGGGAAAATGATTTGTTAATTATGCCTAGCAGTGGGATGTCGTAGGCTAGATGAGATAAGACAGAGAAAGAATCATTTAAAACGAATTTCGCTGTTATTTGTGACTGAAAGAAAACCATTCGTTTCTGTTTTCATAATACAGAATCGATATGTTGGCATGGTATATTGCAGGTATATTGATTTATAGATCTAATAACTGAAACGAAAAATGCTAAAAGGGTATTACAATTCAAGACGAGAATCTAAAAATAAATACAACAACATTGAATAACTCTGGATGGCTATGTTACAAATACATTCGAATTTATCATTTTTGCGTTATCTTCCTGCGTAGACATTTCCATACATCCCAGTCCCGGGTCAATGACCTGTTTGACGTCATAGCTTGACCTATACATGGATGACTTATTCTTGTTTTTTGGAGACGCTTCCTCATCCTACTATTAGGCAAAAATAAATGTCTTAATCGGGATAAGCTTGTCTATTGTAGAATTAAAGCTGCTATTCCGAACACTGCAGCCAACAGCCGACAGCCGACAGCATATGCTGCAACGGCTGCAGCTATTGGCAGTTGCAGCACATGCTGTTGGCAGTTGCAGCACATGCGATTCCGAAGGCACCGGCCGACAGCCGACAGCCGACAGCACATGCCGTGTCTGCCGATAGTTGCATGTAGACTTAGGTAGATTTTATAAGTACCTACAGGTTAATAGGTACCTACATACATAAATCACGCCTTAAACCCTTGCGGGGTAGCGACGGCCGTAAAAATTCGGTCGTTATCGCCACGTGTAAAAAATATTTGAGAGCCGTTCTAGCTATTGTCGTGTATCACTATAGTGACAGGTTGTCAGCTTGTCGCCTAAAATTGCAATACCCATGTTACCTTCGAGACCCATAGTCGCTGCTTACGACACCCACAGGAAAAAATGGGGTGATGTTATTCTAAGCTAGCATCACACGGCAGAGTAGCAGGTAGGTACATAGGTAGCTATAATAGGTACCTACAGGTAACTCACGCACGAACTGTAAGTACTTAGTTGGTACAATTCAGTGTACCGCAACTCGAACCTAGGTAGGTATAATAGGTAGGTACCTTTGAAATTACCGCTGTGTGGTTTAGTTTTTTAATAATTATGATAGTTAATTACTTCATAATTATTTCTGAACCACACATTTTACGTTTTATAGCAAAATAGCAAAACTAGATACGTGCGTATCGCACTGCCGTTGCAGCAATACTGATCTGCAGTCACGGCAGTTGCGGCATATGCTGCAGCGGCCGACAGCATGTGCTGTCGGCTGCAGCCTTCGGATAGCGTTCCATAGAACTCCATACAAACCAGTAGTGCTGCAACGGCTGCAACTGCCGTTGCAGCATATGCTGTTGGCTGTCGGCTGTTGGCTGCAGTGTTCGGAATACCACCTTTACTCCAATTTTGCTCGAAATTATGGATATCTAGTCAGCATTTCAGGCGACAGGCTGACAAATTGTTGCTATGGTGGTACACAGTCTTCTGAATGACTCTCAAACTATTCTCAGGCGTGGTGTTAATGACCGTTTTTACAGCCGTTTACGCTTTGCTTACCCCGCCAGACATATAGGCATGATATCTGTATGTATGTATTCTAAGCCCACGGAATTCGATTTCTCATAATGATAGAGCCGACTGATAATTCGATCCAGGAAGTAGTTAACGGGTTTAATACGTTTCACACCACATCCCGTGAGGTTGCGGTTGAGATAGGGCCGGTAACCATTCGGATATTAGAAAATAGATAAAGTCATTATAGCTTTACACGAGAAAACTTGAGAAGACCCGACTGCCTCAGAAGGAGGGGAGGGTTTCTCGAGAGTATGTACGTTTGTGCGTCGGGTATGTATGGTATGTGGACTAGATGTTCCTTTTCACGGACTACAGCCCAAACGGCTGGGCGGATTTTGCTTGACATTAGAGGAATCGTAATATTCGTCTCAGCAGCGCGAATGACACTGGCTATATAAAAATTTCATAAATTTAAAATGGCAGAATTTACACGCAAAGTATAACGGTCGGGGTGTATATTTTTAAACAACTGCTTGATATACCTAAAACGCTACCTTGATAAAATTGAAATAATTAACGCGTTCAGGCCCTAATATCACCTAAATCCCAAGACAGTTTTCATGAATTATTAGATAAACAAGAGAAAAAGGTAAGTAAAACGAGTAGGTACATCATTCCATGACAAAAATATTATAAGAAATAAATGAGTCTTATTTAGGTAATAAATCTGAATGTTAGATCTAAAATTAATTTAGCACAGAGAGACGTACAACTTACGCGTGAACTTTGAAGGCCAAAAGATTAACCTTTGCAACCGAATAACCAGCTCACAACAACAAAACTAACAATACCATAAGCTATAATAGAGAAAAAAAGCGGAAATGAAATAGAAAACAAGTGTGCCAACATAACAATAACCATAACCGCACAAGAACACAATAAAACAAAGTGATATCATTCGCGAGGCGCTCTTTGGCATGTTTTTACTATCGGCGACACTTCATCTCTGAGATAAGATAGTGGGGAAGACTATGTTGCCTGCGGTTTGGCACGTTCAGAACGCATATATAGTACAGGTTGTCCTGGAAATTATGGACATACCTACCAAATACTTACGCTCCGAGCCTCTTTCTTCAGCCTGCAATGTCCTAACCAGACTGGGAACCAACCAATTCAATCATTAATTATCAATTTTTCGAGTGACCCCACCGAGAATAGAAGATAGAACCTTCTGCGCCTGGCTGTCATGGGCCACCTAATCAAAACGGAGTGAGAATATTTTTTAAACCCGACTGTGTTTTTATTGATTGCGCCTGTAAAAATGATAGACAAAGCAAAATAGTGTAAACTGTGTATAAATTTTAAATTGGCCACGAGTGTTTTACAGTTGTGTCAATATAAATAGCTAGCACCTAGTTGACAGCCATTGAATGATAAATGAAACTGTAAAAAAAAACGGTTCGGGCATTTTCGAAAGTGTTGCTGAACTATCGATAGCAGTACTTTTCAAAAAACCCTACAAAATCGTCTTCTTTTTCTTCGAGTAGGACATCAAGTCGTCCAACGACCCGCTGAACCCTGGTATCAGAGTTTTTCAACCGTCTACTGCAAGATTTCTAACATGGTTTGTTGGTACACAATCGTTAGCCCAATCGATATTATCGATAGTTCAAATGAAGCAATACTAACGATGATGATATTTCGATACCTACCATCTAATAAGGATGGGAATAAATTTGTTATATTATTGCCTAGTATTTGTATGAAGTTTCCAGAGGCTGTGTGGTCTAAAACTTCTTTTCATATTTCAACCTATATTTCTGAGAAAAAAATTATAGTTTGTTTAACCTCTTGAAATATTTTTAATATTTTCTATATCTTACATATTTCAAGCTCTAGAATATTTCTTAAGTGAACAAAAAGTAAAGTCTTTTTTGCTTTATACCTAAGTACTTAAAAATATCTGCGTATACTAAACTCAAACGAAACAAAGAGTCAAAACTAATCTATCATAAGTCAAAAGTTGAGAAATATAAACACATCATCATAATCATATCTTTAATAAGATTTATGAAAAATGAGTTTCAGAAACATCAGACCTTTAGGGCTGATCCCACCGTCTCCGTCGTAAATCCGTACAGGGTTGTACCGAATGCCCGACTCTCACGAAAACGCTTCTTCTTCTTTGCACAACGACTTGATGAACCCTGGTATCAGAGGTTTTCAACCGTTTAGGCACTGCAAGTAGCAGGCCTCTGACATAGCCGCAGGCCACGAAAACTAAGCTCAACTAAACAACTTTCCTAAAAGAAGATAAGTTAAAACATAGGAAGGCTATTGCTCGGTCATTTGTTTTGTTTTTGTGTGGGAGTTCCAATTTTATACTAAGACCTTTGGTCCTTGGGGAAAGTTGTACATAGTGAACTGTTGAGCTTAGCGTTTTAGGGAAAGTCGGTCGTTCAGTACCTCCCTGTATGTCTAAACTAGGTCTAAACCTTAGTTTTCACATGAGTTGGAGTTGGTTAGATTAACCCTAGGTCACGAAACTCTTTAGAACTTTTATATCTAATTTCGTTGAGAATACTAATATCTAGAATTTTAAAACTGTTCAAGCATAAAGCCTTAGATTAGACTTATAAATACCAACAAGTCGTCTTCAACGGCCTTCGTTGTATAATAGGATTTTGCGGTGAACCTTATTTTAGGGCAGATGTGGTATTGCCAACTACGTAATTATTTGTAACCGTCAACCTCCATAGTAATACTAATTATGACTTAAATGTTTCTTATTACAAAGAATTTCAGCATTTAAACATGGTATATTTTATTTCGTCATAATTACGACAAAAAAATACTTAGTGATTCCTTTATTCAAGTATAATTTTGTAGAAAATTTTCAAAATTTTCCCCGCAGACAGAATTTCAAATGGCTAAGGTTGAGCTGCGGTAGCCCAGTTGGTAGAGGCGTTAGCAGTACAGATGCCGAAAGGCGCAGGATCAAATCCTGCCCCCAGAGAGAAATCTTGCAAGTTTTTCAAAAATTGTAAGCCTAACACAACAAGAGAAGCTCAAGTTCAAGCTGTTCTATAATTTTGCGGTCATGCTTTTACTTTGTGTGCAGATGAGAGATTTAGTTAGACAACAATTTTGAGTTTGCTAATCTAATTGTGTTGTATTGTTTGTTACAGGCCGCACAAAATGATGCTGGAGTCGAGCCGGTGAGTCTTAAACCTAATTGGGCTAAATATCATAATCAAGATCACGATCTACATCGCTGATTATTGGCCTAGGCCTATTTAAGGTTTAAATTCTTAGCCACGATTCCAACAGCCTAGTTTAAAGGTGCAACATCAGCAAAACAAGCATCGCTTCGGATGTTGTGACCACTTTTAACACCCAATGTTTCTACCGCTAGGTCGCGTTGACTCTTACATGAACTTAAACAATGCAGAAGGTGTCTCTATGAGAATTTGTCCAGATGGGAATGTGCATCTAAAGGAGTGTGTCTAGTTGGAACCAAACCTTATTTAACAAAATTAGTTCTAACTAAAATTCGTCGTTTATTATCGTCGCTTATTTAAAATTTTGTTTCCATTTGAACGGGTTGCTCACCAGGTATTTTATTTTCTTACGTTGATCCTTTAGCCAAAATCTTAGATTACAATAATCAATGATATACTCAGCCCTAGCTAAGCTTGCAAACTAAAGTACTTAAGTATAATGTAAGCCGTTGTAAATTCGCCACTGACATTGATTACGTACAACCTTCCACACAACCTTGACCTGCGAGGCCGTTTAAGAGACTATTTTCCAAATTACTACAGTACGGCCGTTCGAATACTCCATATTTGACAGCTGTCAATATCGTCTTAATGCTATGGCATAAGGTCTATTTCTCTTTGTTGACATGCCTTCTAGTATGGGGTCGACAGCTGTCAAATAGGAACTATTCGACTTGCCGTACTTTATCGAATATAAACGTAGGTATGTACAATATTTAAACTTCATTACATAAATGGGTCCATAGGGACTTACCCGTGTTTCACATATAGGTAGAGACTTCAGAAAAAACAATTATGAAAAAACAAAACCCAACTGCGGTCATTTCTAAATAGGTAATAATATTTTGTGTTTAATGTCCGCCATTTTAGAATTATGAAATTTTAATATAGTCAGTGTCACTCGCGCTGCTGAGACGAATATAACGGCACCTCCATCCGTCCAGCCGATTAGGCTGTAGCCCGTCAAAAAAAAAAACTTGTTAACATACATAGCTACATACGCACATATACGTGGGTAGGTACCTACATACACACCTACTCTCAAATAAACATAACCCTCCTTTTGAAGCAGTCAGGTAAAAACAAGTAAGATATTTTATTTAGCTTAACATGATATTTCTTCTTTGAAATATTAAATTGAATATATCTGTTGTGCCTATTCTTATTCTAGTATTTTATAGAGCTAGTGGGAATAAACTCTTCAATTGTCTGAAACTAGAAATATTATAACTTTTATTTGAACAATTGTAGCGCTTTTTCGCGTGGGAATATTTGTTTAAGTCGTCTAGAATTTGGATCCAATTCGATATGATATAAAGCACTTTCGCCTGTATATTTTCTTCTGCTTCTTATTGTCCTGTGGGACAGCGAGTCCACAAACGATCCTTTGAACCATAACCGTATCTATTAACACAGCAATTTTCTAAAATTACCTCTTACAAACGTTATCCAACAAAATTATGTAAATTACTCAAAATATAATTACATTATTGCTTCATTATCATGATAAACGGACGAGTATAGTAGCTGGTGTGTAAAGCTCTTGGACAATAAATCACCGATGGAAAGAGATAGCCTAAAGATCCCATAAAATTTATCAAGGTAGAAAGAGATGGCTATATAGTTTCAAGCTCCTCTGGCGACTGATGTGAGTTTTATTTGCACTTTTTGAATTTATTTTGATTACAGCTCTATCTAGCTAGATTGTAAATTATTGTGGTTATTGAGATATGATTGTTATCTAGTGAAGCTCCTAAGTGTATAGTTACTTGATTGTTGATATAGGGATCGCCATTTAGGAGGTCCTTAATATTGATTTACGGTATTACTAACCAAGTTTGGTTAGTCTTGTTAATTTGGCAATACAGCTAAATGACAAGAAACCTAGTCCCGATCGGTCTAACATGTAACATGTTGTACAGAATACAAAAATAAATAAATTATGTTTCTTCTTCTTCGAGTGGGAAACCAAGTCGTCTAACGACCCGATAAACCCTGGTGTAAGAATGATTTCAACCGCCTACTGCAAGTAGCAGGCGTCTGACATGGCATTCGGGACCGACGGCTTAACGTGCCCTCCGAAGCTCGGAACCATTTTGCTTTCGGACAATCAAGTGGTTCAGCCTCAAATGTCCTAATCAGACTGGAAACAAATTCACAAAGTGATAGATATCAACTTTGTGAGTGACCCCACCGGGAATTGAACGCGGAACCTTTTGCGGCGCAGGCAGTCGTAATAACCACTACGCCACATCGGCTGTCATTTATACTACAAATTATGATTTAAACGTAAGTTTCACTTTTGTTCTTATTTTGGCGGGATCTTTTACTTGGTATAAGGAAAATTTGCATTAAAATTGGTTCTTAGAAGGTCGCCCAACTCCGAGGCGAACCAAACCAACTGCATTAAGCATTTTTCTGTAAACGCCGACAGATGGAGCCACGATATTGTTTTCACACCATAATGCAACGGAAAATGTGATCGCTCATGTACAATATTTATTTTCTACATTCTGTATTAATCAAGATTAATTTTACTTTGTGGTTTAATATTTTTCGTTACGGGCTTCGTTTATAACCTCTCCTGGAAGTTATTACGATTTTTGTAAGCCAAAGTTATGTCTGTGGTTTTATTAAGACAGCACAATTTATAGCTATTTGTGTAAGTATTGGTACCGAGAAATGCTTGGTATGGAACTGAGTCATATAGTTCTCTACTTTGTAAGAGCTGTCTAACTATAGTGAAAACATAGGTTTTGTACGTTTAAAATACATGAGTATAAAATTCTTGGGTTTAGCATAGTCCATTTGCAATCATAGTGTCATGAAATGACTTGACCAGCCTAAGCGGGAGGCAAAGATACGCTGGTCGCTATACTTAGCTACTAAGCGGCCAGCATAACTTGGCTTTCCTCTTAGGCTGGTCATGACACTATGATTTTTAATTGAGGGGCTTTATGTATTAGAGCGGTTTCGCACTACGTCCGATCCGAACCCATGTAAAATGTCCGTCTCTGTCCGTTCAATATCGGTTGACGGATTCAAAGTGTTTCATTTCGGAAGGAAAATTTGAAAATGTTTCATTACGCGATCGTGCCTGATGAAACCTTCAAGTAAATTTAGCAGTCGACTTTACACAACTGTTGATGATGAATTCTCTATTTTGATCTGGGATGTCGTAGTAAAGAACATGATATTCCGTGCTTCGAAGGGCACATTTAAACGATCGAAACCAATTACTTCGCCTGGTGAGTAGGTAGGTATAATCGGTGTCATGTAAAGAGAACGCTGAGTTAGTGATTTGTTATCTCTTTCGTAGTAATGTGGAATGAAAGGGACAACAACACTTCGATAAATGATTGCTCAGCGTTCTTTTTACATGACAGGAACTGTACTAAACTACCTATATTGTATTATAGTTGCTATGAGTTAATGACCTTAATGGCGGACGTGACAACCGCATCGTAGGCACGACACACGAGACAAAAACTCATACACCAGGACTTATCAGGTCGTTCTATACCTCAATGTCCCACGCTACAAGACAGAGATGGAGAAACAAGATCATTTACAGTGCAAGTGTTACTATAACTTCCTCTAATAACTAACGTTATCTTTTCATTCTCTCACCGCTCCATTCTTCAATGGAATTTATGGCGGTGCGGTGCGTCTTTACATTCTATTTATTACTTTCCATTTTCCGCGTAAAGGAGGCCCATTGTGACAAAGTAAGCTATGGCACAGTAGAAGTAAAAAACAGTCGAGCGTTTTCATTTTCCGTAGAGCAGGATTATAATACCCATTTCTATTTGTGAATGCTGTAAAAAGTATCTAAGAAATAAAGCCATTCACGGAGTCATCCCTTTGAATTCAAAATCTTGCACTGCTCTCGCTAACCATGCCATGTAAATAAGGCAGTCTGCTCGATATAGTGATAAGGTGCTACAAATATATCCCAGATTCTCCCAATGGGGAGGGAAGATCCATGTTCAAAAGTGGACTATTGTGGCTGTTGACGTAGGCATTAGGGTTTTCTACCCGGGTACCCGGGTTCGGGTATACCCGGGTATTTCAGACTTTTGATACCCGGGTATAAACGAAGGGCGTACCCGGGTACCCGAGAAAAAGAGATAAATAGAATGATATAATAAAAAGAAAAGAGAGAAAAGATTAAAGGATATTGCTATATTTTAAGAATATTATTTGTTTTAACAAGTTGATTTTATACATCTGTAATCTCACGCGGGCTTGTATATCTAGACTTGCATATAATTTTATTAACTAAAATATTTGTATTATTTTCTATGGGAATTTTTGCTATTTTGTAAGGAATTTCAAAAACTACGTATATGATAACAAGAATTCTTTTACCTTTGGAAAGTTAGGTTATCTACTTATCCTGCAGTTGTATAGAGTAGCTACTTTTTATCAACGATAATAATCTCATTTCCACGTGAAAACTGTTAGAAGGGACAGTAATGAAGTGAGACTGATTAATGTATTTATGTACCTGTTTTTTTTTGTCTTAAATTAACAAATTATTCCTAACTTTTGAACCTGAGTGTGTACTGTCTTTTATCTAAAAAGTAGCTGATTTAAATAGTGCTAACTTTTAATTCATTTTTCTCCATTACTTAACCATTTTTACTTACAAAACCAATACCCGGGTAACCGGGTATACCCGGGTATTTGAAAAAATCGTACCCGATACCCGGGTATCTAAATTGGTCGGGTA